AAAAATCCAAACTTTAAGTTGTGTGTGTGTATGTTACAAGCGTGACAGTCAATCCTTTAGCATGGATGGTGCTGCTAACCGGCTACCTTCACTCTGATCAGTAGTGGAGAATTAGGGACGGCGGCAGATAGCCTTGTTAGCTTTGCGAGAAACTATAACTAAAACAACATAAAACCAAGTTTATCCAGTGGAAAAAAAAAAAAAATGTTAGGCTAAGGTGAGTCACTTAACATGATAAGAAAGAATTTTATTGGTTATGAAAAAATTTAGCTTGGTCAGTTTGTCAAAACCTTTTTTTTAAAGGGAATAGTGCATAAAAAACGAAATAAAATAACATATATGGGACGAACTACACTCGACTATAAGTAAATATTGTTTAGATTGTTTGTTTGAAAGTTACACCTAGTTGATTCAGTTTCTGCATTAGTAACCGAGAGGAAATAAGTATGAAACCACAATGAAGAATCGATTCGATCCATTTGTCGTTTTATAAATAAAAATCGTTTCTAAAATATAGCTCAGCCTAGACTATATATAGTCAGAAACCCATCCCATTAAACTTATTTAGTGAGCAATATTTTGAGACCTGTTTCATCCTGTTTAGATATTTGTTGACTCATCTTTCAATGCCTAAGTATTATATCTATGGTCTAGAACCAATGAAATTACTTTGAATTATCAACAAAGAGATAAGATACGTGAAGATGTCTTTGTGGCATTAAAAGATAAGGCATGTCGGTGCAGAGATGGTTACCACGGTGACAAATCCCACCAATCTGGAGCAGGCTTACACGGAAAAAATATTGTCTTCTTATCTCAATTGGGTTACGTGTTACGAGCTGTTTTTACTCAGAATTTTGTCTAAGAGCTTTCTTATGTTGATCACATCTCTTCCCCCCTCCCCCCCAGATCTTCAGAGTTTGTTTCTGAAATAATCAATCGAAGAAAAGAGGATTTAAGAAGAGACCCTACTTACACGCGTGGACTTGAGGGGGGTGACAAAACCTAACCAAAAGCCGTGCCCACTTTGCGACCTTCCTCTTAAACGCCAGTTTTCCCCCATCATTAGTACAAACTTAATTTGTTTTTTATCCACCAGGACTTATGAGATCTCTGCTGAATTGGCAAAGCATTGATGAAAATAACTGTCTTTTAGCACAGGGAGAGTCCGTGAAGTTTGACGCTCGTGAAGTCTCTGTTAAACTTTTGTAAGTCGTGGCAGTGTCCTTATTTGCTTTTGTTCTTTTCTCACAACCCCCCCCCCCAGTAACACAACGGTATGTCTGTTGAGTTACAACGCTAGAAACCGGGTTTCGATACCCGTCGTAGACAGAGCACAGATGGCCCTTGTTGTAGCTTTGGCTTAACTACAAACAGCAAAAACAACAGATCTTGTCACATATAATTATCGAACATGTATAAATCTTTGAAACAGCCGTCTGTAGGGTAATACAAGTATAGCCATATAATTATCGAACATGTATAAATCTTTGAAACAGCCGTCTGTAGGGTAAGACAAGTATAGCCATATAATTATCGAACATGTATAAATCTTTGAAACAGCCGTCTGTAGGGTAATACAAGTATAGCTATTTAATTAACGAACATGTTTGTTTGTGTTCTTTCACTTTTCATAAAACTTATTTTAATTTTGTGAGTGTTGCACATTTTTGTGTTCTACTGTTTATAAAACTTGCGTATTTGTAACAAGTTTAGAAAAAACGACATTTACACTCCAGATATATATATATATTTCACTTTAGCCAACGTTTCGCTTTTGCGGTTTCATCAGGGTTCATATACACAACTTTTAATAAACTGCAAGAGCATTATGATGTAACTGTCAATTCCACTATTCGTTGGTCAAAGAGTTGCGCAAGCGTTGATGGTGGGTGATGTTGACTAGCTGGCTTCCCCCTAGTCTGTCATCTCTAAAGTAAGGACGTCTAGTGCAGATACGTGTTACTATTGATGGATGTTCTCTAACTATACACAAACGTCTGTCACGATTCAGTGTTCAATCCAATCATATTAGCGCATAAAGCCTTTTCTGGGCTAACGAAATTTTTATATTTGGTTCTTTCTTTTTTGCAATCGCTTTGTATGTTTTATACTTTTGACACACGTTCATAGTTCTGACGCTTTGGCGACGTTTTGTTTTTCTCTAATCAAGTGTCTCTCACTCTCTTTATCGTGTGGATCTGGCTGGTCGACTTCAAGATGTGGAGAGGAAGGGACAAACCTGTCAGCCAGGAGGAAATATTTCAATGGCTGGTTACGTGTCCAGTGCCTGCCAGTTACTCTAGGACAACAGCCAGGAGGAAATATTTCAATGGCTGGCTACGTGTCCAGTGCCTGCCAGTTACTCTAGGACAACAGCCAGGAGGAAATATTTCAATGGCTGGTTACGTGTCCAGTGCCTGCCAGTTACTCTAGGACAAGCAAGCAGATTTTTGGTGATTGTAAAATTTGGGGCTACTCGTGTTCTCTGGTTTAGGAAGAAATTAATGCTTTCATATATGTCAAGCTGTACTTGCACGTGAACCCCCACTCCAGTAGCTCAGCAATAAGTCTGTAGACTTATAACGCAAAAAAAATAATAAAAAAATTCGATGCCCGTGGTGGGCACATCACAGATAGCCCATTGTATAGCTTTCTGCCTTAAAACAAACAAACAATATGTGAAGGCATTTTTTTCCTGATATTACGAATGGGGTACCTTTCCTTAACATCGATACGTGATACTGCTTTCATGACGTCACACTGACGTCATAATCTTGTCTTCCGTAAGCCTAAACTTCTTCAGGTAGTACGTGTATAAGTAACGTAATATTTATCTGCTTCATAAATCTTATCTCTTCTTTAGAGTGGTTATTCTTGTTGTAGTGGAACCTTGCGCAGAGAAAACCCAGTTTCTTACTTCAACGAGTTCACGTGTTTGGATTATTCGACGAGCATCATCTTCGATATTTTGAATTTGTTTTATTTATTATTAGAAAGTCCTTCTTTGTTGTTTCCATGAAATAATTGTTTAGTAAAAGTTTTTGAGTCGTAGCTACCGAACAACAATAATAATTATTGAAATAATTGTTTAGTAAAAGTTTTTGAGTCGTAGCTACCGAACAACAATAATTATTATTGAAATAATTGTTTAGTAAAAGTTTTTGAGTCGTAGCTACCGAACAACAATAATAATTATTGAAATAATTGTTTAGTAAAAGTTTTTGAGTCGTAGCTACCGAATAACAATAATAATTATTGATATAAATGTTTAGTAAATGTTTTTGAGTCGTAGCTATCAATCAATAAATATTATTGAAATAATTGTTTAGTAAGTTTTCAGTTGAGAAACCTCAAAGTTGGCTAAAGAAAGATAACCGTTAAGACTAATGTTTGTGACTAAAATGACACAATATTAACAGTACTGTTACATGATCTGTGAACACCATATTAACAGTACTGTTACATAATGGCTGGAGACGGCTTAAATGGGTAATGAAGAA